CGAACCAGAGAGAAGGAGGAAAGTAAGTGGAAAGACAGTGAGTCTGATGAAAGAAAGCAAGTGAGGCGGAAAGGAGGGAAGGAGAGAAGACAAGAGGGGGGTGGAGCATGGCCTTCGAGGAGGACTGGGCTGTCCCCCACTAAGGTCTCCTCCCCCTACCCCCTACCCCGCCTCCTTGCCACAGGGACTTGGATTCTCTGTGTGTGTGTGTGTGTGTGTGTGTGTGTGTGTGTGTGTGTGTGTCTTTCCTGGAGGATCCCACACGGACCTACCTCCACCCAGGCGTTAGGACACCTCTCTGATATTTTTGCTCCTTTCTTTGCCGGTTGCTTTTCTTTTCTTTAGCAGAGACACTTTGGAGTTTGGGATGGACTGTCCCCAGAGCATTGGCCCCCAAGGAAACCAGACACTGGAACCCTTGCACTGAGAGGAGGGGAAATCACTGCTAAGAGTGGGTGGGAGATCGTCGGGGGTGGCAGGAGAAAGGGGGTGGAGTGGAGGTGGGGTAGGGGGCACATGGATCAGTGAACGCAAGGTGCAGGGGTGTTTGGTCGCCAGCTGGTCATGAGGATGGTGTATGAGGCTGGAAGGAAGTTTGTGAAGTCAGACCGCTGTGATCGTGTCTGTTTGACCCAGTTAGTGAGTTGGTAAGTGTGCCCAGGTCCCTGTAAGTTTGTGTATGTGTATGTGAAAGGGCAGGTGCCAAGCAAGCCTGCACCTCTTAAGTTAATGTCATTTAATGTGGAACTAGGTGGGCTGGCCTGAGTGGGTATGAACTAGTGTGTGAGGATGTCTGTGCTCCTGGGTCACTGGTGGTTTACGTGCTTCTGAGGAGGGCAGTCAATAACTCAAGCAGCAATTTGGAATTTATGATCATCCAAATCTTCCAGTTCCCCCCACCCCAACCCCCATTTCTGTGAGGTCCCTGGCTGTGGTTCTAGAAGGATTTCGCAATCTCCTGAGAGTCTGAAGCACCAGTCTTGGCTCTCACTCTCTCTCTCTCTCTCTCTCTCTCTCTCTCTCTCCTTCCCAGCTTTTCCATTCTCACCATCCCTCTCCCAAGGCTGCTGTAAACCACATCCCTGAGAAACTTTTCTAGAAGTTCCTCTACCCTCAGGTGCCAAGAGCAGGCCTGGCTCATACTTACCTACCTACCCAATTGAACGACTCAAGAATCCTCCCCACCCCGAGCCCTGCCCCTGGAGAGGCCTCAGAGACAGAAGCTGTGCCCAACCCTAGTTTCTCATCCTAGTGGCCCCTGAGTCGTCCCCAGATCTCTTGCATGTGGTATGTGCACCAGGAGTCAAAGCCACTCAGCTTTATGAGCCAGGTCCTTAGGGACCCCTTCCTTTGACCCTCCACCTCCGAGGCATCTTTGTAGGGGGAAAGAAGCTGTTGGAGTCCCTTGGATGAAGACTTGGAAGAAGTCTCAGCCCCACCGCTTATTCTGAAGGGCAGTCTCTCAGTTCAGGGGCTTGCCGGGTTTGCTTTCTCAAACCTCAGCTCCGGCCACTGCTCAGCCTCCCCAGACTGGGGGCCGCCTCTCCCCATGTGAAGGAGCTGGCACTGGGCCCCAGACCATGATGTTGGGAGCCTCTTGCTGAAATCTGCCCAGAACCCAAACCAGTCCAGAGGAAGAGGAGGATAGGACAGGCAACTGGGACCATGGCTGTGTCGGTGAGTCCCAGCCTGGGGGGACAAGAGGGGGGTGGGAATGTTTGGGGAGAAAAGAGAAAATTCTAAAGCCTCTTCTAGTTTTGTTTTGTTTTTCCCATTTTTGCCCTTTGTGATTCCCATCATTTCCCCCCACCCCCCACCTCTTTTACTTCTGTCCCTTTCATCTTTTCTGTGCCTTCCTGGCTGTTTTTCTTTAAGTCTCTCCCTCACTTTTTCCCTTGTCTCTCTTTCACGCCTCCTTTTCTCTTCTTTTTGGTCTCTCCCTCCCCCACCTCCCCACACTTGTGTTTCCCTACTTTTTTACCCTGGGACGGCTCCTGTGATGTGTGGGGAGAGGGCAAAGGATGAAGGCAAAAATCCTACGGGCTTTTTTTAGGAACAGGACAGATGGCCAGTGGCAGCTCCCAAGGAAGAGAGCATTGGGAAGCTGGAGAAAGGGAGGAGGGGAGGGGTCAACCTTAGAACACAGAGTAAAGAACTGAGGGAGTAAAGGGGGACCTGAAGCACCCCCGCTGAGAGGGAAGAAAGTGAAAGGAGCAAATGGACAGGAGGGGAGATTAGGAGCCGGAGAGAGAAAGAAAAACAGGGGTGAGGGAGAGGGATGATGTCAGTAGAGCCTCAGGCCACTTTCCAGGGACTGGAGGTTGGGGACAAAGGGAGGAGACAGCTGGCAGAACGGGATTTCGGGAGGGGGACTCTCAAGGAGCACATGGCTGTTTGCCACCCCCCATTAAACAATCCTCATAGGCGGGGGCGTGGGGGGAGGGAGCCATTCCCCCCAAGTCAGCTGGGGGGACCCAATAAGGGGCAGGGAAAGAAAGGGAAACCCCACCCCTTCATCAACCAATCAATCAGCAATTATATATTGTTCCCAGCTCTGGGCTTCATCCCTACTGGCCAGATTCCAGAGGGTGAGAGACTCCTCTTTTGCCCTGCCCCAAGTTTCTATCCAAATATTCGAGTCCCTCCTTTTTCTCAGGAGACCCCTATATTCAAAAATCAACTCTGCAGCTTTTCCAATACCCTTCCACCAGAACCTTCCCCATCAGCCCAAAGATATTTTTGAGTAAAAGTAGACACAGTGCCCAGGGAGAGCACGGACTTGACTCCAGCCTTGGTCCCATTTCCATTGCCCTGGGTAACGAGGAAAAGATGGAGACCTCAGGAGCTCTGTGCTGGGCAAAGGGCCCTACCAAAAGCATTCAGGGATTCCTCTATCTGTGATGTAGACAGAGCCCTCAGACCAAAAGCCAATGCCCTTCCCATCCTCCAAGGAAAGGTTTTTCAGGCTCAGGGGATAAAGGACTCCTGGATTCCACTCTTGGATTACTCCATGGCTGTTCTCCTTTTAAAACTTTACTTTCTTGACTTGTGAAGTGAGGGGAAGAATCCTCTTTCACATCTTGAATGTGTGACTGGGGTGGGAGGGGTGGGAACAAGCAGTGCTTACTAAGCACCTACTAAGTGCCAGGCTACTAAGTACCTACTAAGTGCCAGGCTAC